GTCGTTTTCTGGTGGAATCGACCTTTGAAGCTCTTCATCAAACACTTTTACCCGAAATGAAAGTAAGCTCAACAATTAAGAAGCAATCGATTCCTTAAAGCCCAACTTTTCATCGGCATCTTTCTATTGTTAGGCCTCATATTGTAATTCAGCCTTTTCTATGTAGGACACTTGGTAGTGCGATTTTTCCTTTTCTCTCTTCGTTCCGGGGCATCCAAATTTATATCACACTGTAAGGTGCATGCATTTTATACTTCACTAACACATCCTCTGTCCTATTAGAAAATTAAAAGTTTGTAGCTGTTAAAGCCTTATTATATCTTTCCCAGAAATAATCATAAAAGGACAAATTAATAATAAGTAGAATGAGTGAGGAGTAACTATATTTACAAGGCACATAGAAACAAAAAGTAGGAAAACCTAAATATATAGAAAAGAATATAAAGATAATGAATAAAATTTTTTCAAGCCAGATCCTCTATCTTTATCTTGACAGGCAAATACGAGGCAAGCTTCTCATCTAGAGGTCTTGGGATTTCTGAATTTTCCAGTTTGCAGGTCAGATCCGAGTGCAAACTTAGCTCATAGGGCGCAGAAAGACTGTTGTTCTCAAGTTTTAATTGTGAGATAGCAGAGACTGCATTGCTAGATTGAGGCTCCGGATTAGTTGCTTTGATGATAACTAATAGGAAAGACAAGAATATAAATTAAGATAGTTAAGTTTTAAACGTCTTAATCGGTCATACTCTCTAACTTAATGTATGCATTCAACCAGTAAAAAATTATCTTCCATTGTCAAAAACATTTTTAATTACTGCAATATGCGAATGAAAGCCGTGAAGTGACAAAACAAAAAGACCTATAAGGGTTTCGAGCATCATTTACTCTATCTAAAAACGCCCGACCCTAGTAAATAAAAAAAAGGATCAAGAGCCAAATGAATTGCTGTCAATACAGCACTTGATGTCATACGGCGGTACACTCATTAAAATTGATGAGGTAAAGGTTAATTTTACCATTCAATGTAAAGGTATCATGTATCCTTATAAAGGCTGGACGGGAGTTCCTGTCTACTTCAGAGTAAATAAGAGAATCGTACCAGGAAAATACGGATACAAAAGCAAACACGTCAATTGAGCTACAACAAGGATATGATTTTCAAACAAATACAGGCCATTGACAGTGCCAATGGTAAATGGGTATTTCAAAATCGATAGGCATGTGTGTAGTTGTCAGTAAATCCCATAAGTTACAGAAATGTTAGTAATGATTTGAAAATTCGGGCTCAGCTGAGGGCAATCCATTCAGGATGGGAAAACTTTAAGCAAGTTGCCTTTTGGAGATGTATGGAGGAGGTAGCATTACGAGTTACGCGTTTCAGACATGGTTCTTATTCTTTAATGGAAGCAGGCAAAGGTCAAACACGATCAAAACTATGCAAAATAAGGCATTGTAGTCAGTGAGAAGGATAGAAAAATGAAAAACGGGAATCAGATTAAGAGCATAAAATGATTTAGAATGGTTTCTGATCGAGTATTCATAAGAAACTAGGTCCCTTAGAATCTGCCTTTACATCTTGCAAAATGTGTCGTTTTTCACTATATGGGCCAAAAATTTATAGGTAGACCCATAAAAATTCAATTGACTCAAACAGAAAGAAACATATTTATTTCTTGTAATAGATCAAATAGCCACAGTTAGCAGTATGAACGCTGAAAATAGCAATAATCGAGTATATATTGGATGTCATCCAATGTAGTGGATTAAATTGTAATCAAAATCGTCTGGAAAAAAAAGGATAAAATTTGGTCACGATGAGGAGTCGAATCATTGCAAGATGCCAAAGCTGTGGTAAACAATTCGGATCACCTGAGCTTTACTGCCAAATGAAAAACCAACTGGGAAAATGGCTGAGAAATAGCATAAGTTGTAGGATCTTTATTAGCATGAATTATTTGCACCGTTACCAGCGAAGACAAATATTAATCGATCTATATGGTCTAAAATGAGAACAGTTCTTATTGTAGTAATATCGAAACCTAGTCTACATTGTACAGAAGTTGTTTGACCTTGTTTTCGCAACTTGGTCATATTGTTAGGAAGACTTAGAGGAACGGACCTTGTCCTGAGTCCATTGTATGCATAATTATTTCTAAAGTCGGACCGTGGACGTGGTACATTTCCAGACGTTTCGCCGGCATCGTCAGTGAGTTTTACTATTCGTAGCACCATATTACAACTCGTCAAAAAGACAAGTGAAGCTACACCATCATGGTCTTCATATCTAGTCTACATTGTTATTATGGGCGTTATTGTGCAAATAGGCGGCTGTATTTAGATCAAATCGTCGCATAAATGTAGGCAATTTAATTTGTGTATTACTGATATTCTCCTCAGACAAAAATTGCTATTGAATTCCTTTGTAGCTTGCTCCCTATAACTAGGTGTACCAAAGTTTGACCTAGGCGAAGTTTTCACATAACTACGGGAAAAAATCTGATGGGCAATGAGTTAAAACATGATCACTCAATCACAGTGTCCAAGAGCTTGGGGGATAGATACTTTGGATAAAAGACTTTTGAGAGGCAAGCCACACTGAAAGTAATAGAAAATGGTTAAATTTGTTGTAATATGGGAGCAACTAACAGTGGAAACTGAAGTGAGAAGACTACCAACTATAGCTCATATTTAATAATGTGGAACAGTTATTAGAATGGAGAATTTTAAGCAAGAGTTTATATTCACTAATTAGTATAAGGATGAAACTAGCCACCATCCAGTGACGAGTTCGAAAGTAAATAAATAAATAAAGTAATGAGCAAATCTTTGGAGGAAGCATAATAGATTAAGTTAAGGTAATCGGAGATATGAAGACCAAGATGGAGAGGCTTCTGGTATGGTCGCAGTCTCCTTTCGATTTATTGAAGTAGGTTGACCTAGTTGTGACAACTTTGTCTCGTTGTCAGGGGACTTAGTAGAACGTACCTAGTCCGAAGTCCTCTGCCATAGTAGTTATCATAATTCCAAGCATCAGACAGTGGACTTGGGGTTGACTTCACGTGTCTCTTTGGGGAGTTCGTAGTTTGGTGTGGAGAATAGTAGAACTAACTGATGACGTCGACTAAGATGTCGGCGAAACGCCTGAAAATATACCAAGTCCACTGTCCGATGCAGGGAATTATAACTACTGTGGCAGAGGACTTTGGACAAGGTGCGTTCTACTTAGTCGCACTGACAACAAAACCAAGTTGGGACAACGAGTTCAACCCACTTCTAAGAAAAGGCAAGTTGCAATTACTAAGCTAAAAAAAAAAAGATTTTCCAAGGCAAATTTTTTCAGCTAGAGGAGTATATATATTGTTGGCCAGTCTAAAG